GCTATCTCAGAATTGAGTGCAGGAAGAGGTTTATGATAAACTAACCCCGGCATCACGGTGTGAGTCACATGAGGGCATGATCCTGAAACAGTCCGTGCGAGTATATTTAGCGGAGATTTCTGAGAGCGGGCTTCTGCTTCTGCTCCCTCTCGATTGCAAAGCTGGTTTTGGCATGGGGGCTGGGAGGGAGGAATACTCGCAAGCATTGCAAAGGGTTGATTTTAAAAAAGCGTTTAATTTGGATGTCACCTCTGCTTTTTTGTGACTTTTGTTATTGTTGTTAACAACAGTTCGTGCTGTTTGTATCGCATTGCCACCTATATGGAAGGCTGTGCAATACTTTCCATTATAAGACTGTTTTCGGTTGCTTATTATGTTGCCAACATTCAGCTGTTTGGGCTGAATTTTTCCGTGCTGGGTGTCTCCTTCAGGCAGAATTTGTTGGGAAAGTTTCAATAAAAATACTTGAACCATTCCAGGGAATGAGAGGAGGGGGAAATACTATATTTTGCTCATGTTTATTAAAGTTTGCTGCAAGCGCTTGGTTCGGAAATCATTGCACCTACGTGTTTTGGAGCAGGGATTTGAATTACTAGGAAGGTGAAAGGGAGAGGAAAGAAAAAAATGGGCTAGAAGAGGTTTCTTTCTAAGGAATAGGCTTCTTCCAAATGTTGTGAACCATCTGCAAGGAAGCACACAAAAAAAAAATAAAATTGCTTGTCAAAACAGGATCAGCGAGTGGCAGGGAACCGAACGATTATTCTCCCCGTTCCGCTGCACCTATGTAGTATGTTGCACTTGGAGAGAGAGAGAGAGAATTACGAGGTGCAAACACAATCCTCTGCAATAGGGAACACGGCTATGAGATTTGGAGGGCAAGGTTACGGAGCTGGGAATAAGGCTTGAGAAGAGCAGAGGGAGACTTGCTCAGCAAAAAGATAGCGAGAGGGACTATTAAGCAAGGAGGTGAGATATGACCTTAAGTGGTCTTATGGCAGCCCTTTTTAGTTACAGTTCATTGTCTGTGTCCCATACATCTTGGTGCATTTAAATGAGGCAGGGAAAATTTTATGCAGTTGTGTAATTTAGAGGCCAATATTCAACCTTAAATCCAATATGTTTCATTTCTGTGCACTTGATGCTGCAACCGTAATGTACCTTCAACATGGAAATTAAAGCTTTAGTCGGAAATGTCGTCCTATACCCATTATTAAAATGCTTATATTATAGGCTTTGAAGAACACCACCATCATTAAGCATGAGTATAATATTGTGTTTCAATTAAAATGTTATATTTTAATCCATTTAGACAAGCGTTCGTTTGAAAAGCTCAGCACTGTCAGTGCTTCAGCAAACACGCGTAAGGGACGATTTGGATCTGAAAAAGTTAATTTCGTACTTCACGTATCAGGAACTGACCTTCTCAGCAATCTCTGCCCTCCGTTTCTCCCAGGTTCACAGTGTAGACAACAAACGACCTTCTGGAACGTACCCAGCGTGCTCAGCCCGAAGGGGAGTGAGTTAAGAGGACAGGGAGAAGTTTCAGCTATAACTTCAAATTTTCCTGATTTTTATGGACTTCAACCAGACTGGTTATACCTCAATATTATTTTAACATTGTTATTTGTGGCTGAGTTTATTAAATAACGGCGTTCATGCCGGTGCTTTTAACATCTCACACTTGAGGTTATCATCCAAGTTTTCAAGGATTTATAATGTTGCCATAACGTTTTCATGAGGAATAAGGCTTCCCATCCAGAAGCAAGCACACATCGTGCTACAAATTCCAAAAATAGTGAATTAGATGTTTCCTGGTTAGAGGAAAAGCAAATGTGTACTGAATGGCTGTTTTATTGAGATCCTTTTTTTTTTTTCTTTAATGAAATGTAGAGTTCTCTTTGGGGACTGTTTTGCCAATATCTGCACCCTTGTTGAGAGAAGAAAAATATAAATCTGAGCCGTTACTATGGATATCTGCTTTTTAAATATTAACTTCATAAAGCTGCCATATCTGGGTTTGACATGATGCATTGTCTCTGTTTGAAAGAAGATAAGTCGTCATGTCATATACCTGTTTATTAAAGTCTGCAGCTTGTGTGCATGATGCTATCATGGCAAAGATCCACTTATTAATGCCTTCATGGTATGGTTGGACAGGATACAACTTTATTGCTCTATGGGTAGTTAAATTTTTATGCCCTAGTGTTTTGAGGCTGTGTTAAAGTACCTAAATCTCTTTTTCAAAAGAGCAATTTTTGGAGATCCGGGCCAATTTTTTCTTTCATATTTGGCGCACGTACCTAAAAACCTGATTTCTTCCTTCCTCCCCTCCCTTTCCCTGTGCACCCTTTACTGTTCCTTCCCCAGGAGCTGTTTTCTCTTAGTGACCTCTCCATAAATGCTATCAGGTCTGGACTCGTGGCCAGCAGAGTCTACACAGCTTCCACTCAGCAGCTCGGGGGCTGCGAGCAGTCACAAAATGTGGGGTTTCCATGGAGCCTAACTGCATCTCCCTGTCCTGTGTTGGATTCGGGATGTTGATCAGGGCTTGCTTCTATGTCTTCTCTCACGATGAGGTGTGTCAAGTCACACAACAGGCCATTTGGCCACACAGCAGGTAGAGTGCCAAGAATTTGGTGGAGGGCTGGGTTAGCCCCTGCTAGCCACCAAGCACCCGCGGAGCTGCTCGCTCACTGAGCCCCTGCCTGACCCCCAGCCCCAGCAGGATGGGGAGAAAACAGGAGGAGCAGGAGAGGGAAAACGCCTGGCTTGAAATGAAGAGAGGGAGATGATTTACCAAGTACCTGTCACAAGCAAAACAGACCCACCTTGGGGAATTAAACTTAATTTATTGCCAACTAGCAGAAATATTTAACTCTTGATTCAGGTATTGGTTATTGAGAAGCAAAAGCCAAGCACTAAAACATTTGGGGAGGGGAGCCACTTTTCCTCTCCCTTTCCCAGGCTTCGCTTTACTCACAGGCTCGTTTCACATATCTCCCTTCTCATGCCTGCCTTCTGGTCCCCAGGGCACAGCTTCACTCAGACACCTCTTCTGCCGCGCTGTCACTACTGATGGTCACACTCACACCCTTCAGTGAGGGAACAAGTGGCAGCTGGTGTCAGGATGTCATGGATTTCCTCTGCTGCTCCTTGTTCCACACCATTTTCCTGATGTTGGTTGTCCACAGGCTGCAGTCCCTTCAGGGCTGTGCTTGGTCCACCCAGGAGCACCCCATCTCCCATTCCTCTGACTTATTTTTTTCTCTCATTCCCTCTGCTTCCTCCTCTCTCTCCCTCCAGCATTCCCTACCTCTTCTTAAATGTGCTTTCACAGAGGTGCCACCGCCTTTGCTGCAGGGCTCAGCTGTGTTTTGCAGTGGGTCAGTGCTGGGGCTGGCTGGAATGGGCCGTGTCCAGCACAGGGTGGCCTCCAAGCTCTTCTCACAGAGGTCCCCAGCACCTCGCCCTGCCACCAAAACCGTGCCACCTACGCCCAGTACAGCAACTCAGCATCTTCAATATTTCCTCTGCGGATGTGTACTCTGCTGCTGTTTCCATCCCTGGGTCTGCCTCATTCTCTTAGGCTCCTCTGAGGAGAGTGTGACTATTGAAAGAAAGCCAGGTTGCCTTTCCTTAGTCCAATACAAATAATTGCTGGTAATTTTTGTCATCTGTTTCCTTAGTGGATTGCAAATACGAGTTTCTGGGTGACAGCTGGCTCCAAGGTGACTGCAGCACACAGGCTGCGTGCAGTTCTCAGCTGAATGCAGCCTTCACCATTTGCCCGGGTTGCAAGAGCTCGTCATTTAAACCTGGTATCTTGACTAAAACCTGGCTTATTCCATCTAACTGAAGTCAGACAAACGTCTGGTTGTAACTTAAGCATAATTCAGTATCACGTACTGTTGTGTATTGTATTATTTACTGAGAGGCATAGTTTATACCTTAGCACGAAGCACAGAGGACTGTACAGAAAAGGTGATTTACTCCAGGCTGTCTTTTTAGGAATCCTTCAAGATGGCTCCTTGTGCAGTGGAAGTGAAAGAAAGGAACCCTCGGTGCATGATCTCTGGTTGCAGAGGTCATTTGGGGGATCCCCAGTTCTTTCAAGTGAGGTTTAACACAGGTGCCAGTGGTGATGCTTTGAAATGTCAGCATCGAATATTCTGGTGTAGCTGTGTGTAGGCACTTTCACTTAGAATAAAAGTGTCATTTTCCTTCCAGCTGTTCTTTTTTTTGGAAGGAATCAGAATAAAAGTGAAAAAAATACTATTTTTGTTCCAAGTGAGAGAACCCATGCGTGAAGTTGCACTGCTGGAATTAGGGTACTACTAGCATACACCTTGCATTGTGCTGGTGGAATTTCCTCTGAGCACCCCACTGAGATGAACCTTGAGTTGCATTAGGCATTCAGCAGCATGTACCAAAGCTCTGCACAGAGGTCTAATTCAGTTTTCAGGAGATGGGAGCTCCTGTTTGAGGAATTACAATTTGATTGGACATGTTTTATGTCAGGCAACACTGTCTAAAACTCTTAGGAAAAAAAGATGTGATTATCCAAAGCTGGAAATGATGTGCACAATGTAATTCCTAATACCATTTTGACATTCCTACTCAATATGTTTGCCCCTAACATTTGTCTCCACTAGAGCTACTCAGCTACTTTTTAATGGAAGGATTAAGTGTAGTTAGTGTGATATGTGCAAGACTGATCTTTGGTTGGAGATTCAAAAAGCTTGTGCACGATGCGAATGTCTAATGTAAATTGTATCAGAATCAGAAACAAATGCCCCAGATCTTGAACTCTATGTGAATAAAGTTGGTAAGAGAGGTTTGTATTCTTGAAATCTCTCTGTATTCTGGAGGAACTTGTCGTGGCTGAATATGAAGCTCCATTTTGCTACAGAAAGCAAAATATACTTATTTTTTTCTTTACCTATAGCTTGTGTGCTGATAGTGTTTCAAGCCTCTCATCCTCATGATTGTCCTTGTTCTAGATTTATGACTGATGCAGCTCGACGTGAGCAGGAATCTTTGAAGAAAAAGATTCAGCCAAAACTCTCTTTGACTTTGTCAAGCACAGTATCCCGTGGGAATGTATCTACTCCACCTCGCCACAGCAGTGGAAGCCTTACTCCTCCAGTTACCCCTCCAATCACTCCTTCCTCTTCGTTTCGTAGTAGTACTCCTACAGGTAAGCATATACTGTGTTGTTTATCCCCACATCAGCTAGCGTTTTTTCTGTGTGGCTTTCAGAGAACAGTAGATGTACTGAGGCATCAGGAAGAAGAACCCCTAAAAGTAAAACAGAAAAGCTTTAGGCTTTGAGAGGGCCGAAATCATAGGTAATTTTTCTCACACAGATTACAGAATAGCTAAGTGTTGAACACTCTTCCATCTTCTCTTTGTTGGTGGTATTAATGTATTACATCCACTGAGTAAAAGAAGGAAATAAAAAGCAATGTATGAAAAAAGTGATCTGTGTTTTCTTCAAAACCAAGTCTTCCTCTGGTTCTCCCAGGTATTAAAATTCCAAAGAACTAAGGAAACTAAAATTTGCTTTCTGTGTTAAACCAGATCTTGTAGCCCAAGTCATTAGGTAGAGATCTTGTCAGGCTATGGTGATACACTTCAGGCTAAATAACTTTTTTTTTCTTCTAAAAAGATTGGACACATTTATCTATGCTATTTTGTAATAAATAGGCTCAACATATTCTTCTTACTAGGAAATAACATGAGCATCCCTGCCTTGATAAACTGCCTTGCCATGTGTTTTGCATAAGCTAGTTAACAGTTTTGGTATTAATGATTAAGTGGAAAAGTTGTAGTTGAGACACTCTGTTTGGAAGTTCTGAAACGAATCATTTGTTCAGTATGTCCCTGGGGTATGAAAAAGGGAAACATGTTGAGTACAGCTAAATGATGAAGTCCTAATGTAATACAGGAAATTTTAGAAGTAAGAATTTGTTAATTATCTCCCATTTGGAACGAACTGATTAAATTCCTTCACTACAGATGTGAAGGAATTTCTCCTTTCTTTTGCTTTGCTTTTTGTTCAGCTCTTACTGAGCAGCCTAATTTATGATGTGGTTAGGTAATACGACTTTGCACATTTATCAGTAACATTGGTTAACTATATGATCTTTGAAATACACTCCATCAAACATGAAAGAAAAAAAAAGTCTACTAAAAAAATCTATTTTTATTATTTATATATTTTTTCAAACTTTTAAAGTTATTCAGAATGTTGTTTTACCTGTAGTTAGAAGAATAAGCTTGTTTTGGCCAAGTGAGTTTCTGGATTAACTGAGTCCTGCTTGCCAAGATATAAATAATACCAGCTTCCACTTTCTGCATCCTTTGTTCCAATTTTCCCCTTGGAGCCATATTACAAGGTTAGGATTTGGAATAGCCTGGTAGCAAAAACCACATATAAAATAGATACTCTTTCTTGGAGGTCTTTTTTTTTTTTAGTTAGCTATCAATTGAGTTATATTTCAGCAGCCTCACCCCAGAATTTCCATTTTTGCCAGTTAAAGTTTTTCTGGACCTAAAATAGGCAGAATTGAGATTTTTCTGATAACCTTCTCTAAGCCTCCTTGCTTGAGCAGGGAGGTTGGACCAGATGACCTCCAGAGGTCCCTTCCAGCCCTAACCATTCAGTGATTCTGTGATACATAGGTCAGGTGCTCAGTCCTATCTGGCTGAGTTTCTCCCTCTCTCCTCCTCCCTGTGCAGTGCCTGCAGAGGGAGCCCAGGAAGGCAGGCAGGCTAATTCTAGATAAGCAGTTCACACGTCTGTTGTTAGCTGGTGTGAATTTTTTTCCCTCGAGTGCAAATACATATGGCAATCAACTAGCAAGGTGATAAAACCAAGGATAGCCAGGCAAGATCCATTTCAGGGAGACAAGGTATGTAAATCATCCTGCACTTCAGTCTCTCAGTTCCTACACAACCTTCAAGCCCCATGCTGCATCCAGTGAAAATGAAGAATATTGCTGTGTTCCTTCTGTGCAATCCTGTTTGATTTGTACTCTTAGCAAATCCTGTTAACTCATCTTCAAATACAGGTAAACATGGGTTCTGGTGAGTTCAGACAACAAAGAGGATGTTTTTCCTTAGATTGTCTGACAGCGTGTTGTCTGGGTTGGTGTTAACTGGTATAATCCAAATATAATCGTTGTCCTCCTCATCCTTCAGACCTGCGTCCTCCGTTTAGGTTTGCTACTTGTCTTGGCTTTTCTAGATGTAGTAGTCTTGTCTTGAATGAAGCTGTCTGAATCTGTCATCTCTGTCTGTGTCCTTACAGCTAAGTCCTGCCATTGCCTGATGCCGTCAAGCTGCTGTTGTCATTTCTCAGCAAAGCTGAATAAATTTCATATAATGATCTCCCATCCACATATTGACCAGACTCGAACCCATTTTGCTTATGAAATTTGATAAGAAACAGTTCAAGGTGGCTTGGCTGCAGAGAATGTTTAAGTTTAGCAGTAAAAATCTATGCCAAAGGACTAGGGGCCAAATTCTCAGACGGAGCTGAGCAGCTTCCAAGCTGACACACATACATGCTGCAAACGTTGCATGCGTATGTACAGCACCTTCTTCTGTATAAATGGGATTATTCACGTAGAAGCAGAAATATTCAGCAAAGAAGTGTGCTCTTGAAGGCTCTTCCCAGGTAATGAGGTAGACACGTATTTATCTGCAAGCTCTGTGTGTGTTAGTCCCCTGAAATGGCCCATTTGTGGTTTTGGTGGGAAGTAGAAATGCAGCAGTTAATTTTCTATACCTCCCCTCTGTTCCCTCAGGGGTGACTGGCATGTGCTCTCTGCTTACATTTGGCTTTTTGTTCCCTCTGCTATAACAAGTTTTCTCTTCTTCCGAAGACCTACATCCTCTAGTAATTGCCTAACGTTCACTTTAAGAAATTTCTTCCATTTTTTGTTGCAACAATAGTGTCTCCCAGGAGACGTTGTTTAAGGCTTAAAGCTCTTGTTAGGATTCGCGGGCAGGATTTAGTGAAAGAAATGGCTTCCATCAGTAATAGACTCCTTAGGGTGCGAGGGAAGTACAGCTAAGTAGCAGCAGCACATAGCTTATTTTGGAAAGGCATTAACATTCTGCAAACATTGAAATATCTCTTTATTTAAGGAGTGCTCAATTAAGTCACAAAAATTTGTGTTGCCTTTATTTTTAAATGTCAATTTTAAAGCCACAAAACTAATGAAGTCTAGTTATGGATAAAAATGGGGCTGACATTGCATCTTTAACATACGCTGTTAATTTCTTAAACATTTTTATACATCTGTGTGGCTCACAGATGAAATTTCCACCCCTAATTTCCTGGCTTTTGAGCGCAAGTCAGAGCATTGACATTCCTTTTAAAACTATGATATCTGTTCATGCTGAAAAGCTTTAGAAAAGATTCAGTGATAGTGACTTACTGGTAATTCATTACAAAAAAACAACCTGGTCCCGATTTTAGTTACAAAAGTAATTCATAGTAATGAGTCTCAGGCTTATAAAATAAAATAAAGCCACTTTTGCATTGAAGAAGTGCCAAAAATCAGAACTCATCTGAAACCACTGTTTTGTGTTTGTTTGTTTTTCTTCTGTATGATTTTCATCTTTATGAAAACTTTTTTTTTTTTTCTTAATGATTCCAGGCGTGGGATTCTAGATTTAAGCCTGGAGTGAATGTTTGGCCTTATAAATCTTCAAGAAAGGGTTTAACACTACCAACTGGCTTTTTAATGGTTCAACCCTAAGTCTTGTCCCCTTCACCCCTACATCCCCCCCAGAAAAAAGGCTGGAATATTTGAAAACCTCATAATTGGCATTGCATTTTGCTCTGAAGAAATTGGCTCTCAGACCTCCTTTCCTGTTTATTTTGATTTTAATAGATTGCAAGGTATAACATTTATGCAGTTTTAATAGGTTTATAAACCTACTTACTGCCTGATCGCGTTGGGCAGCTGATGGCAGCGAGTCCTGGCAGCCAGCGCCGAGGATGCTGTGGTTGGCTGCAAGAGCTGCAGCCGTCTGTCAGTCCTTCCACTTGTAAAGGAGATGAAAGGGCGAAGTTCTCCTGGGTGGTCAGAGCTGACCCTAGGAGAGAGTTGGCAAGGCCCATTTTGATTTGCAGCTGTCATTTAAATAGCTGACTAACTGTTGGTTTATCTTATTAATTAGGATAAATGCCTTTCTGGGGAGTCGTATATGTGCAGTCCTTTCTGATTGACTGCATGAGGAAGTTTTACTTTTCTATACCATGGCCAACTTCTTTGAAATTTGCACTAGTATTTACAAAAATGACCCAATTTCCCACCCACAGGAAAACTGTAACTTTTCAACCTCCTCCTTTTCTTTTTCTTTCTTTTTTTTTTTTAAATGCAATATGAAATCAATAATTATTATTTTTTTTACTTTGTAGAATTGCCTTTAACGTTTAATGAATCTAAGATGTGAAGAGTGAAGTTATAATCAAATATGCCCAAAGATTCAAAACAAAAATATTTTTAGACATAAAGGAAAAGAAAACTCAGGCTTTCATATTAGTGCTGTTCATGTAGAAACCCTTATATTTACCATCTGAGGGTATTCAACACTGCTTTGTAGCTTTGTCAGTAACCCTAAAACTGCATCATTTCAGCCACTTAGAACATACTGTGTGAAATGGGCTTTTTTTTTTTTCTAATAAATCTTACCAGTGGTGAACCATGCCTTTCTAAAATACAGTACATGACTTAAAGACAGGAAGTGAAATTTAATATATTTTCAGTCAAAAAAAAAAAAAAAAAAGGCAGACCTCAGCTAGTGTGGCCTGTTGTAATTAAAAGTACTTTTGATACCAAGCATGACTGAATTCTTAAATCTGTACAATGATTTTAAATATCTTTGGTTTTGTTGTGAATTTAGTTTCAGGTGAATCGTTCCCCGCTTACACCGTTATAGAATATCTTCTAAGATTAAAATCATGTATGTGTAAGCATCTATGTATGTGTAAGTATCTATGCAATGAAGTTAATAGACTCTTACAACTCGGACCATTAATCTTTCCTCTTATTCAGTTGGATTTGCTTCAGTATTCAAATGCAACTCCTGGCCAAACAGTGACCAAAAAATTACAGCTTCCTTCTCGTGGTAATGAGTGTTGCTACTGATGAAATAATTTAGAGCTTCATTGTTCCCTCT